CTAAGTGGGGCTGAGGGGGCCGTGATCAGCCTACTCCAACTCCTTCTCCACCCCCCCCCCATCACCACACAGTGGCCAGCATGAGCTAACACCCCCACCCCCACACAGCAGGGGCATGGTGTGGGTTCGGGTGAAGAAAGAAACAGCCCAGGCTCAATGAGAGGAATTTTCTTATCACAGTCTATTTGCATGTCAGTCTTTTAACTGTTGCATTGGAAGATCATCATTGACTGCAGCCATATTCCCTCAGCCTACAACCAAATCCCTTCATAGTTTCATAGTTGGTAGGGTCGGAAGGGACCTGAGCAGATCATCAAGTCCAACTCCCTGCCATGGGCAGGAAAGGCTGCTGGGGTCAAATGACCCCGGCTAAGCAATTATCTAGCCTCCTTCAATACTTGTTCCCATACTGTCCTCTACCCCCAGGCTTGCCTATCTTCTCTGGTACTCTTGTTCCTTCTAAGCCTATTTCTGTTCCCAGCAGCATGTCTCTGTCCCCCTTTGACCACCCTCTGCTTGTCATTGTTCTGCCTGACAGTCATACTGCTGCCTCTTTCTGGGAGTGCAGGGTGCTGCGTGTCAGGGGTGAGGACCACCAGCTGGGCTGAAGGGGCAGGGGGCTGCAAGTGGGGAGTGAGTTGCACTGGCAAGGCTTTGTGGGGAAGGGGACTGGAAGGGTAGGGGGCTGCATGTCAAGAGTGAGGGGCACCAGCTGGGTTTGGGGGCTACAGATTAAGTAGGAACGAGAGGCATTGGCAGGGCTGGTGGGGTAAGGGGCTTCAGGTTTGGAGCAAGGGACACAGGCAGGGCTGGGGGGGTGGCAGGTGGTACTGCCCGTGCCAACCACCAGCCCCCCATGTGCTCGTGCCATAACTCCCAGGCCACTGCAGGGAGAGAAGAGTCACACAAACGTGGAGAGGCTGGGGCCCGCAGAGCACCCAGCTGTATTGTAATGGCCATGTATAACAGTGTATGGTGCAGGCTGTGCTAAACTGTTGTATCTGGCCGTTGCACCCAGTCCTAGGGTGTATCTCACTCCTCCCCATACACTTTTATATGGAGCTGTTACACCACAGAGCTGGGTGCAACTGTCCTGTAGGACTGGAGAGGACCATTTCCCACTCACCCCCAGACCATTACCTTAAGATTCCTCAACAGAACCTGTGAAAATAGTTGAATGACTCTGGGTGACCCTATTTACATTTGAGTGACTCTTTGCCAACCCTATTGACATTTTCACTGACATACTGCCACACTTTTTAGCTTCTTTCATTTATTGGAGTCTCAGAACAGCAGAGACTCCCTATGCCTGAAGAAGGGTGATTGCGCCCAAAATCTTGCCAAGAGCTTTTTCCAACTATTCAGTCAGTCTAATAAAAGATATCACATCTACTCAAAGAACCTTACCTGCCTATGCCCTTAGACTAACACGGCTACAACCAAAAAACCCATGCCACTCTGTGTTTTTTCTAGTTTTCTGGTTTTCCTGGAACTGAGCTGTGTTTGGGCTGGGATTACAGCTGGAAATTCTCCCTGGTTCAGCCCATATGGTCAGGGGCATCCAAGAGAGTCCCCCAGTGAGGCATATTATGGGGTAGACTAGCTCTGAGGTGTAATAGCCACATATAACAGTGCATGGGAATGGAAGACATGTGCCCAGCTCTGGGGTGTAACAGCTGCATATAACAGTGTATGGGGAGGGCTGAGATACACCCCAGAGCTGGGTGCAACGTCCACATATAACCATTTAGGACAACCAACACCATACACTGCCAGTGCTCTTCACTCCTGGTCTGCAGCCCCCTACCATCCCAGAAGCGGTGCACAATCACCTATTTTGCCCCACCTCACTGGGGTGGCTATATCTCAAATTCTGTGGGACGTGTTCCTCATATTTTGGGAAACCTTGCTCCCCCATAAGCTCCCCCATAAGTGGCTACCCTTCCCATAGGGCATTAACACCTGCTAAATCCCTTCCATTGGAGAGGGGGTACCTCATCTGAGTACCATCCAGGTTACATTCACCACCTGGGTTACACCTACATTCCCAGCCCTGCTGGTCCCCCTCACTCCTAACCCGCTTCCGCCCCCAGCCCTGCCAAAACAAAAACCAAAAACCCAGTCCAACAAAAGTAACTTTAATTAGCCTGAGTCTTCAACTGCCTGACCCATAATAATTTGATCTTTCCCACAAAGTACATGGGAACACAGGGAACAATCCCCCCCAAAATGTATCTTTCATTAATCTGTACCTTGAACTGAATCACCAGTAAAATTTTGCAAGATTAGCCCCTGGAGTCTTGTTGAAGCATTACAATAGAAATGCAATGGTTTCCATGGATTTCTAAGTGGACCCAAGCACCACCTAGTGGTGCAATAGGTGCAAAGCAGGGAAAAATCACATTTTTGGCATCAGATCCACTTACAAATTTTAAATGATAAAAATAACCCTCATAGAAGAAATTCATTAGGTAAAACTAAAACATGTCGAAGGTGTTAAAAGGTATCATGAAAAAAATCTAAAATGATAAAATCAGCTGATAGTGTGGATATACAGATTTTATTTAGCTAGCTTAATAGTGACTTCTGTCCTGTGGACACAGGAAAAGTGTAACATGGAAACAAGAAAGGTGTCACATGGACAAGCGCCCTAAGGTGTCAGATGTCAGTATGTCAGCAGTCTGGAGGAGAGATGCCGAGGCCCACACTCCCCCTCCAGTTGTGTGCATATGATGGGCTGCTGGTATGCCCTCTGTCCATGGTGGCCTCGGGGACCTTTCCTGGGGCATGGGGAGAGGGACCTCTCTTGGGGAGGAGAAGGATTGGGGAGGGACCCTTGTTACTCTTGTGGCGGTCGAGTGGTAGGCCAGGCTGTGGCCAGTAGCCCAAAACGGCAGGTGGGTATTTTTTCCACGATGGAGCAGAATTAGGCACAGAATCGTATTGGTTAAACTAAGATTACTTTACTTACAGTGTCGATGGATACAGCGTAGGCAGAAAGTTAACTTCAGTTACAGTTGCAAACCAAACGAGAGCTCTAGAAACCGAGGTGAGATGTTCGTGAACAATTCAATGAGCGTGCAGGGCACGGGGTACGTCGGGAAGGTCGATGACGGGGAGTCGTTGGTGGGTGATCAGTCCGCTAAGTTCGCTCCGAGATGGGTGCAGAGTTCTCCAACTTGGGCGGAAACTGCTCTAACTTTTATATGGCTAGTGAGCCAATTGCTAGTCACCATGTAGAAATAATTTAGAACCGGCCAATAATGGTGTGCATAAGGATGGTGGGAAATTTTCTGCACCGGGGTTCTCCACCGTAGCGGAAAATTCCACCGTGCCGAGAAACTTCATTGTGCTGGAAAATTCCACTGTGCTGAGGCACTTAACTACTGGGTTCTGACAACTCTCAAGTCTCTGCTTTGTATTCTCCTTCCCTCCTGATGACTCCTGATGACTCTTCATCCATGGCTATCTGTGGTAGTGAAGATCATACTGCCAGCCCCAAGGATAGTCCAGGGCCTGGTGGAAAGGGACTCAGGGACCCCAAAAAGTGCCAGAGAAGTTGCTCCAGGCACAAGTACTTACCTTGCTGTGAATGAGAAGCAAAAGCACGGGACTCACCGGGAATGCTGATGCCTTGATTTATCAGCTCCTACTGGCTCCAGTTGACTGGGCACTCAACTCGTGACATCAGAAAAGTGCTCCCAACAACAGCTGCCAGAGGAGTGGGGAGACATGGAGAAGGAGGAAGTTATTACAGAAGCAAAAATGCTCAGACTACGTCCTGGCAGGGGTGAAGGAGGTGAGCAGAAAACTCTCTCCTTTTGAGGCTCGGCAGGGTCTCTCTACTCACCTGAGTCTGGGAACAAGAAGAAGACAGGCCAGCATGTGGAGGACTGTCATCTGTCCTGTTTGAGAGTGCCTGCAGAACCAGAGAAGACAGCTAACCATGTGTGGTGGCATTTCAGGGCCGGCGATCATGGAAAATCCTGAGACCAGGTATCCTGCAACCCACCAGAGGATATTTCTTAGATCAAAAGGTGACATACCTTGGCAAGGGGTCCCGTGGCTGTGGGTAGTTAAGTTGCCCTAGTTCAAGAATGGGGATTATGCTGAGATAGAGACCTAGCAGTTAATACATGTGTATAGAGCCATTCTCAAGTCTGCTAACCTAGTGTCACTGCTTGCCTGTGACCCTAAAGCAGGTCATAGTGTGCGCAGAACTACTGTAGGCCAGAGTTCAAGCCAGCAAGCCTCCCTTTTTTCTTATCTTTACAACAAGTCATGGTGGATGAGACAAGGTGAATGTGCTGTTAAAATCTGATTTTTAGATACCTGCTAGGGCCTAAGGGCTAGCACGCGCCTAATTCCACCAGGAAAGGAAGCAAGCAGACTCGATAATACTTGTTCATTTACACTATTGCTAGTTGGCTGTCTCTCTGTGGCCACACATCCGTGTAGCCCTACAGGCCTTCTCCTAATTTGGTCTGTTTCCCCAAAATGAGGACTCAGCCCTACCTGCTCTGGGGCCTTGTTAGCTGGTGCCACTTATCTCATGTTATGCGCAATGTAACATGTACCCCAGTGTTCCCAGACTGTTTTCTAGACTGTGTTCTTGTTGACCTTGTCTTAGATAGGCTGTCTGCTTCCAAGGCTGTAAGGAACATTCTGTGTGTGAGATTCAGGCTTCTTAGAAATCAATTAACCCCTGCTGCCCATCTTAAACCATTCTAATACATATATCTAATGGACCTGGGCTGACCCAAAGTGGCTTCCCTGATGCTGTTGCCCCCCCCAGCCACCCCCCACCTGGCCTGCCTGTGCTGGGAAAGGGCTGGAGGCAATGGCTGGGTCCCCACATCCAACCATGCCTGCCCCACCCCAACTGTGGTTGAAGCTGCTTCTGCTTCTGATTTATGTTCCAGCACTTCCGTTCTTTGCTGTAGCAGCCCCGCACAGCTCAGCCTCCAGCACCGTGAGACAGTGCAAGCTCCACCACTGGGATGTATGAAAACCTGCACTTCTCCAGGTCCCCCCTGGGATGGAGCACAACCCCCAGGGTGCAGGGGGCAGGTAGGAGCCAGCACCCTCCCCCACCTGGCCCTGCTCCAGCCCCAAACCCTGACCAGCCCCTGTGTCTGCAGCCCCCCCAGGCCCAGGCAAGGCCGATGACACCTATGAGACCCTTGAGATGAGCCCTGTGGACAAGGGACTGGCCAAGAACAAGGCCCAGGAGCCCACAGGTGAGTGTGATGGCATATGGAGCCTTAAGCAGAGCTCACAGCTGGCTGTGGTGTGTGAGAGGATCAAAGATGCTGGAAGATGGGTTGGCATATGTGGGAAGCTCTGGATGTGTGAGGAGAGGACTGAGGAGTGGGCTTTGCTTGTTGTACCCAGGCTGCAGGGCAGAGCTGGAATGTGCAGCAGCCCCAATCTCCAGGGATTTGCTGGTGGTCACACAGGGGCCAGCAAGGAGTGTTCCTCCTTCTGCAGTTGCTGCAGGCATCAGGGTTTCCTTTTCCACCCTCAGAGGTGCTGGGTGCCAGCTGCAGAGAGGTGCCAGATGTGAGTGTGTGAGCACAGGCAGGGCTGGAGGCACCATGCACACTTGCCCATTCAGACATGCTCACGCGCTCATTCATAGAAAGCAGTTTCCTGTGTCTGATGCTGCCACCTTCCCTGCCACCCAGGCTTGTGCTGGGGATGGGGCTGAGCCATTGCTTCTGCTGGGACCAGCCCCACAGGGTCCTGGCTACAGAGTCTTGTCCCCTCGCTCAGGCTCAGTTTGAGGCTGCAGTGGGGGCAGGAAGGGCTGGGGCAGGTGTGGCGGGAGGATCTTGTTACTCCCCAGCCCCTTCCTGCCCTTGCAGAGCAGCTCGCTGGCAGTGCTGGGAGGCAGGAGGTGTGCCAGGCCTGGGCTGACTCATGATGGCCTCCCAGATACTCTTTGCCCCCCACTTCTCCCCAGCCTGTCTATACTGGGGAGGGCAGGGCCATGGCTTCTGGAGCCACTGGAAGGTCTGTGACTCCACATTTGGTGAAGCTTGGCCACCCTGCCTGTGGTCTTTGCCTTATGTGGGGGCAGAGGGTGATCCTTGTGCCAGGCCTTTTCCCACGGCTCCTCATCTCTTGCAGAGCCCCAGTGGAGCATGTGGCCCCTGATCCTGGGCCTGATGGCAGCTTGCCTGGCCCTGCTGATCTCCACCATTGCCCTGGGTGTATTCTGTGAGTAGGGCTGGCAGAGAACATGGAGCAGGAGGGAGGGAAGACGTGTGGGTAGCATCGGGGACACAGGGAAGCCTTGTCCCTATGCCGGTGCCCATGCCCTTGCACTGCTTTGGGATGCTCCCACTGGCTGCATCATCCCCATGGCCCTGAAGGGTGGGTGGAGGTTTGAGCACAGTCCTGTTCCTGCCACCACTGCAGTGCACAGCTGTGGGTCCCAGGCCCTGTCCCTGGCACTGACAGCCCCATGCCCACAGACTGGCAGCAGGAGCAGTGTCTAGGGCAGGCAGGCAAGGCACCATCACAGGCCCAGGACCAGGTGGCACAGCCCAGGGCAGCGTTGGTGCAGGCACAGCAGAAGGGGAAATGCAGCCAGAAGGAGCTGCACCAGCTCGGCACAGAACTGAAGGAAGCCAAGGCATCTCTGGCGCTGGCCCAAGTGGAGCTGGCATGGGCACAAGAGCAAGCCCGGAGCCTGCAGCAGCAGCTAAACAAATCTTCAGGATCCAAGACCAATGCACAGATCTGCCAGGTCACAGGTAACCTAGGGCTGGGCAGGGTGGGGAGTGGGGCATCCTAGTGCTGGTGGTTTGGCAGGACAACTCTTCCCTCACCAGGAAGCACTTGGCTCAGGCCCAGTGGGGAGTCAGTGGGGGCATTAAGGAATGAAGGAACTCTGGCATCTCGGTCTTACTCCTCCAGATGTTGTGTCCTTCCCATCCTCTGGTGTCCCATGTCCTGGGAACTGCCTGGCACTCACAGGAGCTGCTACATGGCTGGGCTGGGGGCAGTAACAATGTCTCCTGGTAGGGCCCACACCCCTTGGGCTCCATAGCCCCCACTGGTAGCAGCCTTTGGCCCTGGCACTCACCCTGAAAAAGGCATGGGTTGAGCAGCTTCCCATACCCAGGTTGCTGCCCAGAGACCTGGGTGCTGCACAGCGGGAAGTGTCTGTTCCTCTCCAAGCAGAAGAAAACATGGCATGAAAGCAAAGAAGCATGTGAATGGGAATCCTCCCGGCTTCTTGTCATCCGGGACTGGGACAACACAACCATGCCGGTACGGGATCATGGAGCCTGGCAGGGGCAGCAGGAAGGCAATGCTTGTTGGAGGTGGGGGATCAGAAAACCTGCCTGGGAGTGCCATGCTGAGGGCAGAGCAGGGCAAGGCAGGGTGGGGAGGTCACCCTGGGGGCTTGGCGCAGCCAAAATGTGTAGAAGGGGCAGTGCCAAACAGGCTGCAAGGTTGCCTCTTCTCTGACACCTCTGGCCCCAACTGCATTTGACCCTGCAAGGGGCTGGGGTCAGCAGCAGCTGGAGCAAACACAGGTGCCTTCAATACGTGCAGCCACTTGCATGAAGGTGCAGGAGCTGGGGGGGCTGGTGCCACCATCGACCTTGTCCCCCTGTTCCGCTCCTGCTGCCCATCCATGGGGAGGTCCTATGGCCCCAGCTGCCCCCTCTCCTCCAGGATCTGGCCAGGCACAGGCTGTTTCAGTGTGGTCACTCTTTTCCCAGAGCTTCCTGGCCAACACAAATGCCTTGTACTGGATTGGGCTCTGGCAAGACCCAGACAGGGAGGGTCGGTGGACTTGGATCGATGGGACTCTATACCCAGAGTGAGTTGTGTTCCAGTTCCTTGGCTTGGGAGCCCTGTTCAGTTTAGCTCCTGTCACACATTGTGTGGGGAGGGAGGTCAGAGAGGGGGCTGTGCTGGATTCATGCAGTACAGGCAGGGGAGGCTGCCAGGAGCCTTAACACCAAATTGTGCATGTGCCAGGAGCTGCCTGTATGGACTGGGCTTGGCTCTTGCAGCCCTGCTGCAGCCCAGTCAGAAGCAAGGCACTGCCCAGGAGCCACGTGGGCTGGGGGAGAGGGGCTGTGGCCCAGGGAGGGTTCTGCAGGAGTAAGATAGGCCAAAATGGGGCCTGGGGCCTTGTTGAAGCTGGATGGGTGAGGCCTTGCAGCTGCTGGAATGGTCTGGGGTCCCTGACATGGCTTCTGTCTTTGTAGAAGTTGGAAGTTTAAAGGTCCGGGTCATTATGGAGCAATTAAGGGGGGCATCATTGAGAAACCAAGCTCATATGTTCACCTTCATTCGGTCTGTGAGAAGCCGACCAGGCACCACTGATGAGCCACATAGATGAACCCTGGAATATGAAGACAGGAGGCTGCATGAGTATGAGACTGCCTGCCCGTGCTGGGCATCCTCACTGCACCCTGGTGCCCAGGGACTCATGTGCCCTTCCACTCCCCTGCCAAGTGGAGCCCTGCACCCCCATGCAGGAGTGTAGCCGGGGGAGAGGGGCTGTGATCTGCCTCTCAGCAGCCCCAGCTCACCCTGTCCCTTGTCTTTCAGCTCCCCCTGCTTCAGTACAGCCATATCTGTCCCTGCTTCCAGCACACAGCGTTGCCTGCTCTCCTGGGCCTGCCTTATCCTGGCTGCCCTTACCCAGCCACCTCCCGCATCTAGCACCTTCATCCTATCCGTCCCACAGCCCAGACCCATGCGGGCTTCTTCATGCAGCTGCAGCACACTGCAGACTCCTCTTGAGTCTGGGACCTCTCGACACACCCAGGTCCTTCTCTGTAGCACTGTCTCAGCCACATCTCACCCTCTCTGTGCCTGTGTCCTTGGGTGCCAGAGAGAGAGAGAGAGAGAGGACCTCTGGGGCTGATCCCCTAGGATGGAGAAGGGTAGCAGTGACCAGAAGTCCTCAGTGCCCAAAGCCTCACTAGCAAATAAATAACACCCATGGGGGCAAAGCAGGCCTTGGAAACAATCATCCTGGGGAGAAAGGACATGGTCTGAGAAGGCTGGTGGTGAACAACCACTGATGGTGGTGAAAGGGGCTGAAGGGGATCTATGAAGGTCCCAGATGGCCCATCCAGACAAAAAGAGGGGTCCAAAGAAGAGATAGGCCTGAACCCCACAGAGAGAGACAGAGAGCACAAGCCAAGGTCCTTGGGGAAGGTCCAGTGCCTGGGATGGAATAGAAGGGTCCAGTGTCCAGGGGGGACTAGGGTGCATCTCAGGAATCTCCAGCACCTGGAGCCTGTCCAAGGGAGAGCATGGGAACAAAGGGCCTGAGCCCAGAGAGAGGGTAGTGTGTCAGCTGGGCTAGAGAGCCCAGAGATCTGGAGTCCAGGAGGAGTGAGGACTGGGGCTGGGGGCCTGTAGCCCAGGAAGGGAAGATGTTAGCAGTTTGCATGCAAGGCATAGGAGTGGGTAATGGGGAAGATGAAGCCCATGAAACGAGCCCTTAAGGAAATTCCAATGACCATCTGTGGTCCTAAAAGTTAGACTAGACTTGGGAAACCCTGAGACTGCCTCCCCTTCCCCAGAAAGTAATAACACCAAGATTTGGTGGGTGAGCAGAAGAGAGAGTGCCCCAAGGAAACCCAGGCTGGCAAGGGGTGAAGGTCCATCAGAAGGCATCATGACCACCCCTGGGAATAGCACTTGCTGTGTAGACCCATCAGATACTTTCTAGGAAGGGGCTTAATGGGGTGATGTCTGGTTCTGGACCAAGTCCAGGGCTGAGAGAGAGGCCAGTTGAGCTCTTGGGCCCAAAAGGTCCTTTGTTGGGGCTGTAGCTGTAGCAGCTGCAGCCTCAGCTCCATCCTGAAGACCACAGGCACCAGATCAACCACAATATACTATAGAGGGAAAAGGAAGTCATTAGGGATTCATTACTGACTCTCTCTGACCAGGCAAGAACTCAGGACACAGAACAAAACCAGTAGGTAGGAAGTTGAAAACTGACAAAGGGAAGATCTTTTTCCTGCAGCATGTCATTAAACCGTGGAGCTTGTGACCACCAGATGTGGTGGGAGCTGAGAGTGCAACCAGATCTACCAGCCGACTGGAGACATCCTTGCAAGAAAGGGGCATGATTTGTTGTCAAAGATGATGCTGTACTGTGGTTTAGGGCCATGCTATACAGAACCGGGGTCCAAACACCCAAGAGAGACAAGGAGATTTTCATTTAGAAAACCCCAGGAAGAGAGGAGGCCTGTCAGATCTCAACTCCAATGCTTAAGACAACCTGCACATCCCCCAGAAGGACTCTCTGAACCCCTGGCTGTAAGGAGACCTCTACCCTTGTAGAGACTTGTGTGAGGCTTACTGTTCTCTTTGTGGCTTTTTCTACTGCCTTTTCAGTCAGCTGAAATAGTGCGTATTGTGACCTCATCTCACTGGGCCAGGTCTCAGCTTAGGGGAAGTTTCCTGTTGTTCTTGGTTGTGGGCTTGAAGTTGAAGACTGCTGTGCTCAATAAATGCTTTCTTTAGATAACATCCTATTCTTGTTCAAGCATCTATGAATTCAGTGCCATGGCCTAAAGTATAATGTTAGATCTGGTAACACCATCTCTGTTGAGCGGGGAGTTAGGGGCACGGCCTCTGCATCAGAACTGCCTGGACCTTCAGGGCTGGAGGCGGCAAGGAGAGGAACAGAGGAAAGCCCTGCTCAGACCCCAGTCGCTCTCCTTCCAGCCTTCGCTCTCTGCCTCTGTGTGACGCATGAGATGGGGAAGACAGGCCTAGGGTCGTACCCAGTCCATCACAGTTCTTCTGTACTTATGGTTTTCTGAGGCAGCCAGCACTTCACTATGTTGGCACCATATACACTGGCCCTCCTACCTCCCCAGCAGGCCCCCACCAGGCCTGTGTGTGCTGGGAAGGGGAGGGCTGTGTCTGACTGATAACTGTGGGGCTGTGGCTTGGCCTAGGCTGCCGTGCCTGTGGTCGAGGCTATGGCAGAATACCATCTGTCTCTCCCCTAACTCTGATACCTGACGATTTGGTTACCATGGTCACTGCAGAAGACAGACTCCTCTGCCCCATCTCTTCAGGTGACCCTGAGTTGTAACCTGAGCTGGATACATTCCTGAGGGAGGGGAAAACCTGCTCCCTCTGCCTACCTGACTGGCATCACACACCTGGGTGGGGGCTTATAGTCTCATACTTCCATAGATGTTAGGGTTGGAAGGGACCTATTAGATCGTCGAATCCGACCCCTGGCCTTGGGCAGGAAAGAGTGCTGGGGTAAGATGACCCCAGCCAGGTGTCTGTCCAATCCTCTGAGAAAGGGGAGAGCACTACCTCCCTTGGAAGCATATTCCATCTTTTGGCAACCCTCACTGTAAAGAATGTTTTCCTGATGCCTAAACTGAATTTGCTCTCTTCCAGTTTGTGACCATTACTTTTAGTTACCCCGACAGGTGCCCTAGTAAACATTGTATCCCCTATTTCTTGCTAGTTTGTAGGCGGCCATGAGATAGCCTCTCAGCCTCCTCCTGCAGAGGCTGAAGAGGTTCAGGTCTCCCAATCGGTCCATATAGGGTTTCTTCTGTAGGCCTTTAACCAGATGAGTGTGGCTTAAATTCCCTTTTGTTCTAAGCAATGACAACTTGACTGGGAGGGGCCTAAGAATCCTGCCAGTTCACCCAGCAACCAGTGATGCATTTCAAATTGGTTGGCTGGCAGCCAACAGTTGCTGGCTTCCATTGGACCAGGTAAATAAGGTCATAAGATTTATATAAGTTAAGGCCTGCCCAGGAGGAGGGGCAGTAGCCATAATGAAAACTCAGAGAGAGAAGAGCTGGACCATCTGAAACTTGCTCTCTCTTGAAACTCATGATCAATGAACAGCTTGCCTCCAGAGGAAATCTCCACCTGCCTCTGGATGATATTGTGAGTAAGCTACCTGAGGTCTAACTAAATATACAGCTTGCAATGACATACATGTGTGATCAAAGGAAGACCACTATTTGTGCTTCAGACTGAAGCACCCCAAAGTATTGAAGTGGGTCAAGTACCCTCAAGGACTACTAGACCTGTGTTTCCCAGAGGGCGCAGGTCCTAAGTCAGTCCAGACTCGGGCTGGTGGCAGCACTAACCCCAGGTTAGCGGGTGTGCTCCAGGAAGGGGGTTGGCTGGACAAGAGGCACCCCCAGGGGGGTACTTGGAGCCTGGGTGCAGTAAGGTGGGTGGCTCAGCACAGGAGCACCCCGTAATGACCCGCTATGGGGGCACAGGTATGAGAGGCTGCTTGTGCCCAGACTGCTGGTTGGACACCTAGCTGCTGCACCACAGGAAGTGCCTGTTCCTCTCCAAGGAGAAGACATGGGAGCAAAGCAAACATGAGTGTGAAGGAGAATCCTCCCAGCTCCTTGTCCTCCAGGACTGGGACTGCAGGACCATGCCAATACAGGTCAGAATGGCCCATGAAGGAGGAGCCAGTGACTCCATCCTGCTCTGGGGTACAGGGAATGGGCAGATCCTGGCGTGTGGAGGCAGCACCTAGTGGAAGCCTGGGGCAGCTGAAGGGAAGAAGCAGGCTGAAGCAGAAGAAGAAAGGCTGGTAACCTCTTGCCAGTGTGGAAGCCTCGGAGGCTGGAGCAGCCAACAGCCCTTCTCCTGCCCCTTTGTGACCCAGCCGGCCAGTCCCAGTGCCCAGGGCCGCTCCGGGAGTTGTACCTGGGCATCAGGATCTCCTTGTCTCTGGGCCATTTCAAAGCCTTTGTGACCTCCCCACAGTTTTCTTGCCCAGATGGACACCCCCATACTGGATCGGACTCAGGTAGAGACTGGACTCCAAGTCATACATGTATCAGTGGCAGTGGGAGGAAGACACCTTGTACAGTTTGTAAGTTGGTACCGAGCTCCTTGCCTAGAAACTCCATGGACCCCCCTTCCTGAGCACCAGCACTGGGGTGTGAGGAGCTTCTTGTTAGCCCACCACAGCGCAGGCTGTGATGGGGGGTCTGGCTTGGGCACTGATACAAGGTCAGACTGGCTGTGGGCTCCCAGCCAGGGAGGAGCTGGTGCTGAGGCTACAGCCAGGCGGGCAGGGATGGCCTGGGGTCCTGCTGCGGCCTCTGTCATTGCAGGTCTGGGAGCGAGACACCTCCTGGTTATTTCAGAATACAAGGGAGGAGAATAGAAAGAGAAGGCTGGTACAATGAAAAACACCACTGGGTCTGCTGGCCACCCCCAGGGACCCACAGGGACTGACTGCAGGGCATGAAGGCAGGAGGGTCCTGTGAGTACAAGAGTGCATATCCACAGCATCTCAGCACCAGAGACTCACGTCTCCTTCCTATGTTGTTGGCTGGACCCTGAAA